TAGTGTCTGTTTGTTTAATATACCTTTTGTGTTGCTGACGGTATTTTGTTACCTTTGGTTTTACTAACGGACAGATATCTAGGTTTCTTTATTATTAATTTTTTCGGCATATCATTAATAACCTAGTATATCAATATAATTTGTATAAGCTCCTTTTGTTTGGGAAACACCATAAGGATGAAAGAAAAATACCAAGCGCACCAAATAAATTTATACTCTATTTTCCAGATAAACCACATGCAGATGCATTCAATGGATAATATTTGATTGTTTTATAACACAAGGTGTTTCTATTTCTCGAAGAGCGCTTCAATTCACAAACACAAATGCACAATTCCAGTCGGAGCAAACAACACGATCAAATGTGGCACAAATCAATTTTCAACCGGTTCGTATAGACTCAATGCAACAGCATGTCACAAGTTTAAATCAAAGGAATAGAATGTGCTTAACACAGGAATCTACGACAATAATGTTATTGTTATTCCAACTTGTCGGTTGAGTGAATTTTCGAGGCATCCTTCACTTTCAACATCAATGTATCATCCACTAATCTGTCAACTCGCGAAAACCACTAACTTGACTACCGTATACGAAACTGTCAGTTCTGAGGATCGGACTCTTCTAAAGGGCAAGCCCTAAATAGGATGGCAAATCAGTTCTGGATTCCATCGATAACAAGATTCTCTTTATTCCACTTGTATCATTTCGTTTAACCAACAGATCTACGTTAGCATGTAGTTAGAGAGAAATTAGATGAACTTGTGAATTGAACTCACCGATTTTAAAGATTTGGCAAATGTCATTTTTGTGTTACTCAAGGCACTGAATCAGTTATGGCGATTACAATCCAATGCGGTTACAAATTTCGGAATACTTTACATGACATTCATAATATTCTTATGTTAAATGTTCGTATTACTTAACCTGAAACCTGGAATTTTCATTTCGTTGGGTCTGGAAATATTCATGATTTAGTGATCATTTAATTTAATTGTCTGAATCCATGTAAACGCAATCAGTTTATAATAATAAGACCGTGAAGAGAATCTCTCTTAAAAGTGACCAGTATGGTCGATTCACAAACGCTTGATCTCAACAATATCATCAGTATTGAGTAGCCTTGAGTTACATGGAATTAGTGTCTGAAAAAATTCTAACGAATGTGGTGTGAACTTTGAAGCGAATCTTGTGACTGATATATTTTGTAAAAAGTACGTTACATCATATCCTGCTCTATAAGTGTATGTCAGTGTATGTTCACATGTGATATAAGCAGTTTTGCTTACGAAATATGATCGAGAAATACTGCTTTCTAATCGCTAGGCACAGTAATTTATGAGCAATGCTCATGATATTTCAATTTCCAACATTATACCCTGTTAGTTGTCCTTTTAATTGACGACCTAAAATGATCTGTATATCAGTTTAAGTTTATGAAGATGTAACTATCGGTCAATTGTTTATCACATTTTAAAAAATATTATAGGCATGACTTACTTCAGTGCTCAATTCACTGTACACCAATTCGCCAAATTAATTAGAGAACAAGTACAAGTAACACGTACCAGCTATTTCAAATCCGTCAAATACTACAATTTTTTAGCACTATACATTTTACGAATACGGCAAATTATGGTACAAACCACTTGTTCTGATGAACTGATAAAGATAAGGATGTACTCTGACAAAATAATACTCGCCATTTCGATTGGTGTATGATTACAAGTCGCTGTACCCGAATTATTCAGTTTTCAGTAAAGTCGTCATAGTACGCATGTGTACAGCTGGTACAGGTATCAATAAACATGAATATCAAAAGTATTTTGTTTCAAACTAATTATCTGATAAACTGTTACCAATATGGAGTTCAAATTCCCTTTGAACTATTTTGATCAAATGTCTCATCATATTGATCATTCAAACCGGTTTTTACCCACACCAATATTTGCTGCCTACTTAAGTCGTTTAGTCCTGAACCCAAATACATTTCGTAGATTTCATCTGTTAGGAAGGCATACGGAGAAATGCAGAAGCGAACCATTCACAATGGTTTGCGACTTCAATGTCAACCTCTGATTTCAAGATATAAATAATAAAATAATTGTTTACTCAACTATTACTCATTTCTCTTCATCTGTCTATGAGTCTTTTGATTTGCATAAAGGTCGTTATTGTATTCACTTAGCGAGTAAATCAAGGTCTTATCTGTATATGAAAACCAATATGAAGACAATAATCTATATTTATGAATACAAAATTAACAGTTATTCAGAGATAAACACACTTCATTTACACGTACAAATACAGGACAGAATTGATGTTATAACAATTTAATAAGGAAGAACAATCCTATGGAGACCACAAAAATTATCACGACCAATATTGGTATAATGATATCTGAGAGAGAAAAGAACGACAATTGAAAAGTAGCACTTGTTTACTGATGTAAAAAAGAATTAAACTATCAGCCACAACGGAAGAAAAAAGAACTGAACTAACAAATATATAAATAAACAACCTTGTGACTTGTAGTAAGAGGCGCATGCAAGTGATGTAATATATCTTGACAAATCTTAACCTACTGAGGTCCGTTAACAAACCGAACCTATATCCGACTCTGTCAATGAATGATACAAATGCGTCGGAAATCGGTGGGAGTACACTGAGGATAGATGTTGTTATGACAAGTGTAAATTGTAGAGGAGAGTGTACATATCAAATAGAAGATATCAAGTTATGAGACGAAGATAATCAGAATGGTCGGAATAAGTGTTTTAAAAGATTCATTCTTTCGCATATTATTTTTACCATCATTTAATTAAATGACATTATGTCTGTGTACCTTATGAAACGAGAACTCATAAAATTTCAATAATCTGAACTCATTTTCTTCATATCGTAACATCGTATCAATTGCTCAGACTCAATTTGGCCCGATTATATACAACGACTTTTTACTTAACATTGTGAACTGAGTACTCATGTTACAGCTTAAGTTGATCGGTTCGAGTTTCACATATTCATTCACTTCCTTACTTTGCATAGGCATTATACTTTCTATTAACTTATATTGAATATTGAGAAGCTTTGTTTTCTGAACAGATAATCTCACTGTGACTGCGCGAATATTAAATGAAAGACTTATTCTCTACTTGCCTGATTTCTTCTATCAATGTCACGAGAGTTACCTTCAGGCACGAAACTGAGGAGCTCGACATTGTTCGTCAAATTTAAGGAAAATATGCGAACTTCAATAACACGAATAGATTTAGATGGTGTATAAGAATATGATTAATCGCAAATGAAAACATCATAAACACAGAAACATCATTGAATAGCAAACTCACTTGGAGTTCCAATTACTTCGAAAAATGATGAATGTAGAACATCTGATGCTAAAATTGCAGCATGAATACGAGAAAGATATAACGGATTTTAACAATATAATTCAAACAAACAACTGATACTCAAAGTCAGTATGGATATAATAATACAAACGGCAGCTGTGTATAAAAGCGAATATGGTGGAAAAAGAGAAAACCATATCAATATGAAAAAAGAAGAAGATTATAAGTAATGTAACCGCCAACAAAAGTAAAATGAAAGGAAACAAACATTTTTGATAGATGAAGAACTAGAAATTGGGTGATGAAAGAGAAAAAGAAAACTAATAATTTCTAATATTTTTTTATTTGTTCACAACCAACTAAAAAATTGGTTTGATTGATGACACCGAGAATAGAACTTTTCACAGAATTCTGGAGGAGTACATGAGAAGAATATCTTCGCAACAACGGAACAGAGTGCGGAAACACTCAGAAGCAAATCACGGAATGACACGTGTCAAAAATAAAATAATATCAGTGGTGGAAGAGGAACGCAAACATCGGTGAGACGGAAACAAATAGATTGAAATAAACACGAGCCAAACTACAACATTCACAAAAGTGCAACAAACACTCCACTGAGACTATATCAGACGAAAAACAACAACCAATAATTGATTGATAAAGAGAGCATTTAAGAAACACCTGTATGGTGGGAGACTCACATGTGTTGAGATTTGCCGTGTTCTCCTCGTTCATCCCAGTCACATTCACAGCTGTCACGTTGATAGAATGAACTAAGGAATAAATATAAATTTATCGGAAAAAAAAGTTGTATTGTGCAATAATATGAGGTGACCCATATCCATTAGAAAGTGTTTATTACGTTTGTTCAAATTTTTCTCACTTTCCGATTTCACTGTACTGTTTTGTTAAGTCAGGATACACATAATATATGGTACTTTAGGGATCCATTCACGGACCAATACTAAACGTATATTTTCATCGTATAATTGTTAAATAACACGACTATTTATATTCATATTACATATAACATAAACTTTATTTTGAACTGTGAACCATTATTATACGTTTTACCACTCTTGAATTATGTCGTCTTTTAGTCACTGCCTCACACATTCACAGCTACATTTGGCTCAACCGTGTACAAATGTTATTTTCCGTTTTATGCTGCGTTGTGGTCTAATTGATAGGTATATAAACGCAGTTTGTTTGAAAAATGAAGGTTCATATTGCAGAGACAGAGACTGGTGTTCTGGAATTAATTGTCGGGGTAGGCGGAAAGCCAGATAAATAAAGACACTAGGCTGCTCGCGCGTGTTAAGCGTCCTTGATACGATCGAAAATTCGTTGAGTCTAATTGCCAGCTTTAGGCTATAAAAAGTTCCCACTATGATCAATTGATTGTTACGCCTTAGTAAATAAACACCACACACAAAGATGACAGGAAATGCATACATTTACACATGTCGATGTTTACTAATGCGACAGTTTCACACATGAAATTTCCCCACAACACTACATCACACTTCTATTGTCACGCTGAAATACTTCTAGATATTTTCGTTTTCATGAATGTGTAGATACCGTTCACAATTGAGCCACATTTACATTACGATTGTTAGATTACTGGTTATGTGATTATCTTACATTCCGTTTGGGTTGTCGATCCTTCTTTGTTCAGTTTCTTGTCTGGTAGTTCATCTGCAAAATACAAGCATTACAGGTGTATTAAAATATTGATGATTCAGTGTGGTGAATCAGTTAGTGAACACAATCTTATGGATTCTTTCAATGACATAGCTTTAATCATTGTTGTTGAATTAGATCATGCTCAAGGCAACTGTGATTTAGTTACGTTATCAATTTTGCAACACGAGTGAATGGGTGAGCTGTTATTAAAGTTATCGTTAACCTGCACCTGCTACATGTACCGAAATGCATGTCAATGTAATCTGGATCACTACTGTCGATGTGCAGAATAATAGAGACACTACTGGAATTAAGAAGTCTTAAAAATCGTCACACTGAGATACAATGTTTGTTTGGCCTCTCATTAATTTTCGTCATGTTAAAAAATGTTAATAACTTCCCACTATTCATTAGAAAACACACGGTTTCTCTTGAATTACACATTGAGAATGTAAGCGGTGATATCGTTGAGGTTTTGTAGCATGATTTCTGTTATTGTCGATGTTGATGTTTATATAAATCAATTCAGTGGTTGTTGTCAAAAAACTTGACACAGTGGACGTCTATTAGAAATATGTGAGTCGAATTGTACCAGTTATACAATTCAAATTTATCCAAATACCATCAGTCAAACCTAAATAGATTTATAGCAAACACATTTCGTTTGTAGCATATCTCTAAAATAATTCGTATGATTCGACGAAAAGGAACACCTTAACTTTCACGAATTCCAACACAAAAAACCACTGACACGTCAGTGGGTTTTACAATCACCTGAAGTGCCCACCTTGTTGACAGATGATAAATCAAGAGAACTTGACTTTACAAGTGAAAGAAAAACTTAACATTGTCTAATGATTTCTGATTTGTCCCCACCTAACTCGAACAATGGTTTGATTGATGACAAATACAATAGAACAATACACAGAATACTGAAGGAGTACATGTAAAGGATATTTTTGCAACAGCGGAACGGAGTGCGGAAACACTCAGAAGCGAATCACAGGAAGACACGTGTGAAAAACAAAATAATATCAGTGTTGGAATAGGAACGCAGACATCGGTAAACGGGAAGAAATAGATTGAAATAAACACGAGTCAAACTACAGCATTCACAAAAGTGCAACAAACACTCCACTGAGACTATTTCAGACGAATAACGACAACGAATAACTGATCGATAAAGAGATCACTGGTTATGTAATTATCTTACATTCCGTTTGCGTTGTCGATCTTCCTTTGTTCACTTTCTTGTTCGTTAGTTCATCTGCAAAATACAAGTATTATAGGTATGTGAAAATATTGATGATTCAGTGTGGTGAATCAGTTGATGAACACAATCTTATAAATCCTTTCAATGACATAGCTTAAGTCGTTGCTGTTGAATTAGTTCGTGCTCAAGACAAGTGTGATTTAGCCAGGTATTTGATCTTGTCATATTAAAAGCTTATTCAATTTTTCATCTTTTTATTTTTTCACTTTAGGTAATGCTGTGTACGATTCTTAGTCATGAATATCCTCTGTAATTTCTGTTTTTTCTTGGCCACTTATCTATTTCCATGTTGATTGTTATTTCTCTTGTTTGTTAAATGGCACCCTTATTATTTCGTTTGTCGTAAATTGAATGCTCAAACCGATAGCACATTTTCTTTTCTTTTCTATTGTAGTTACACAGAGTTTGGTATTTGTTGTGTATATGAATGAAGATCACTTTTCGACGAAATTTTTGTCGATTAAAATAGATGTATTTTACCAAATTATATATGATATCAAGTACACAATTACCTATATTTATATTGAGAAAATATAATCTGTAAATTTTTGAAACTTTTAGTTCACTATTATGTACAACGTCAATGGTAACAAATTTGGTAACTTACGTTTAACTTTTGTTTTCTAAAATCCAATCAAAATATTTCGCTATAAATCACACTGGATAAAGTATTAAATATGAACACTTCACTCGAAATTCAAATTTAGCCACTCAAACCTCAATGCAAACGTATATTGACGTTGCTGTGGATGCAAAACACACGATTTTCGCCTAATCTCTCTACAATATTGAACATCATAGGACCTCATGGTGTACAAGCATACACAACTCAGTGACCCGTCAAGTATTTTTAGTGCATCGTCACTTGGACTATTGGTCAATTGGTCAATTCAATGACTTCTCTTCATCCTACTACTAGAAATGCGTTACAGAAACGAAGTGTTTTCAATCATTTGATAGTTTATTCGGTGAACTCACATTCATGACGTTTTCGTTTTGATTCCGGTAGAAGAGAGAAAAGTTTGAAAATAAACACCTTTGTTTACTATATGAAAATGAAACATCATGTTAAGAAAATTATACTCAGCAAAGAAGAATAACACAGCTCAAAAATCTAAGTATTCCAACTGCAATTTCAGGTCTGTAGATTCTTGCAACACCAGACAAACACCATGCTCTGTGACAGCCTGACGTATATGTGATTCAATGGTTCGTCATACCCGTAATCTTTCGCAACGATTCACGTCATTCAATCGCCTGAACGTGACAGCAATAGAGAAGAAAATCACCGCTTATCTCTAGTTATTTATTTGGAAATATAGGCGTGTTGTGTCTATTCGAAATGATTTGAAGTATGCTTCAAAATTAAGGACAATTTGTGCCCATCTCAATATCTGTTACCAGAGACATGGTACGTGTTATGTCATGGTTGTCATTGAATTATCGTGATTAATATACTTCGCCATATTCAACACTTCAAGAATCTGAAATGCCATCGATTCATATCAATGGTGGCCTCATTTTCTCGACACTGATCTTCCTTATGTTTTCAGTTGTTATCGGATTGAATAGGCGATGTGGACTGTGAACTTGATAATTCAACAGACATCAGTCAATAACTTGTCCGTACGGACAATGATACCAATTTATCGTCTATGTGGCAACACAATATTTATAATTGTACATCTGGCCTAGATCTACATGATAAATGTCACTATGTGGCAACTTTTGTAATTATCTTGTATTGTGTGACTGTGAAATGTAAGCACTGAACTTTCGAATATACACATCATCTTCTTCACTAACCTTTTAATATCGGAAAATTTTGCAAACAATGATAGACATGAAAAAAATATTACCGATTGTTGGTAAAGAGAAACGGTCTCCACGTCTATTGAACAGAATGAACACTTCTGTGCTTCTTTCCTTTACTTCTGTGTGGTTCATATAATATTCAACTTGATTTCGTGGCATGATGAACATCTCCAATTTATTTTTCGAATGTCCTCTAAACATCACTGTGGTGTCGACTTCACATGGTGATTCTTCTCTTTCCAATGTTTTACGTGAAGACGAGTCAGACTGCATTTGTATTCGAACATTTTCGATCCTCGGAACTGTGAGAAAAGACGATGAGAATGTAAGGCAAAATAAGAGCACACAGTCACCAACAACTTTTGTTTGAGATGCTTTATGTTTTAATCTGAATTTGCCAGAGCACATGGAATATTTAACTATCGGTTACACTGTGTTCACTAATAGAATTGTAAAAAGATATTCCTACAAGTATATTACGTGTGGAAACTGCTAAGCAGATTCTTAGCTGCTTTCAGTACAAAATACATGAATACAGAAACAAGATATAATACTGAACAACTGCAATATAATGACAAGCTCACCTCGTTCATATTCAATGTTGTATGTTAAAAACCACGTACGGTATCCCATAAACCCATTGTAGTAACCCTCTGCTTTATACGTTATCGCTTCACACGGTCGCCCAATAGTTTCCAAATTCCCAATATCTCCAGCAAGAATATATCTTTCTTTTTTCCAAAAGTACGCTGCTGAATTTTCTAAATATGCATATTTAAACGAATCGTGCTTCATCGGTTTCCATTCAAACGACAGCGATTCTGTCTGTTCTTGAATTACACGCAAAGTATTTGTGCTTGGGTTTTCTGTAAAAGTATCCAAATAATTTGCATTCACTTTAAAACGAATTATAAATATGTCACTTATTGTCAACAACACATAATCAACACCATTCATTTGTCGCATGTTTCGTCTGGTTTCAAATGTGTGCTTAGGAAACTTTGGTTTTGGTGTAAACGAATATACAAATGAAACTGTGTACACAAATCCTCTTATTTTTAGGGTAAGCTTCAAAACTGTTTTCGTTTAGAAGACGTAATAAAGTCGCATGATGAGCTCACGTTAGGCTACTAGAATAAGAGCAGCATTCAGACGCGTCGCTTCGAATTGACACGTGTGACCGACTCTTATGGTTAGATGGGCTGCATTGTTTTCTGTCCGTTAACTTGGATCACTAGTTTGGAGAAAATGGTTTGATGCATCTACCTTACTTGCTGTCACTCAGCGAGTGCGCCTACAGGGAATATTGATGTCCACTAGTGACAGTTATTAAAAATTTGTGTCAGCTGCCAGTTGATACGTACAACGTTGGGGTCACTCAATAGTTTGCCGAATTACCAATTCGCTCGAACCATAGATGTCATTGTTTATTCATAACATTTTATCAGTGAACCAAACACTCCGTTGTCTATTGCCGATTGATTTATCACAATTTCACACACCATGGTCAGGAGGAGAGAGTGATAGCAATGAAACGAAGAAAATTAACATGAATATTATTATTATTACTTCAGACAAAATATATCATCATTCACCCATCCGTAAACATAACCACACCTACTTCCAAACATATTCGTCTTCAAGTATGCCGGCTGATACGTCCCAATCACCGTCTTTGATGATAAGAATGCTAAAGTGATCAGTAGAAGAAGAAGAAAAACATCAAACATTCATGCATGTTTTTTTAACGACATTCGAAATTGACGTGTATTTTGTAAAATCATTTTGATTGACTTCAGTTTCCATGGCAAACTTTCTGTGATATTCCCATCTTGAAAACGTTGCTCACTTGTAAACTGAATAAATTCAGTACAATCGTCCGAATAAACGATGACGCTTCGAGACCAATATCTCAACACCATAATATTGGCACTCCACGTTATTTATAAAACACAAAAGTGGATACGTAGCCGAACGTGTCTTTCCGCAAAAGGATCACTGACAAATTCATCGAGGTAAGAATATCGTGATATTCCCAATAGTCATAACAGATGATTTGCTATCATCAATAAATAATGGTATAAACACTGTTATTTTTATTCTACTGCTGACCATATGCATTCAAATACTGGACGCATTCGATTTTTCAGTGAAAAACAAAACACAGAAAACAAACATTAATCACATAAATATCGAACTCACTCATCATCAATGATAACAAAAGCGATATACGTCCTGAAGCCTGTACCATGTGTCAGCTCTTTACAACTAGTAGTCAGCGATTATTTTGAACATATATATATATTGAAAATTCTAAACAAAATATATTCAACAACTGTGTAGGTGAACTAGTTGAATCAGACAGACAGTCTGTAGTCTGCTTTTCTATAAAGTCACCTGAGTAAATAATTGAGAAAATCTATTTCACTTTAGACTCTATATCTCATATTATCGTAAGACTGAAATAAATAATCGCGTGATAGTTTACTATAATGACATTCAATAATTGTGCCACTTTTTTATTAAAACCTCATACGTTTTTCGTCTACTTCAATATCGGATGATTATTAAACGTATGATGATTCTAAAAAACAATAAAAATTGACTTCTAACCATCTCTGTGAATATCAAAACAGTGTTCACATCGACGCACTCAATTTCTGTTATGAATTTAATGTAACTGCATGTTACTAGATCTTCATGGAATGAAACTCTGATCATATTTTATGGTCGGCTTTACACCCTTGGAACGATAGACTTTATCGTGTTCTGTCAATCGTCTGATATGATGAGGAATTTCATGAGTGGAAATGCCATCAAATTTATTGAGTCATACCTCATATGAAATCAACGTATTGAAGACATTTGTTCTATTCCGTATTTATCACTGTGTTAAACAAATGATGAAATTTTCAATTAACTGGCCTCATTATACTGATACATCTGTTGCTCAAATGCTTCTTGTGAATTTTCAGATTGGCCATTTTCGTTTGTCCTGGAGGGTGTGGGTGATACAGACTTACCTTAGATTTGACAAATTTCCACACAATCGCAGTTTCCAGTGAACACTGACTTATGTAATTCTGTGGAAATTTCAAGGACGCAGTCACGAAAATTGCGATCAATCAGCATCAGTGTGATACATAGTTCGTCAATATGTTAATAGTTTTCATGTCGTCTGATGACCAGGCCTACGTTTTAAGCCTCTTTGGAGCTATGGTAATCTAGTGGAAGAATGTTCTGGATCTATTCATTGCACTGTCGTTAGTATCGAAATTCATTTGTGAATTAAGTTGCCACAGTGAGAGTTTCATATGTAAGTGTCAGGTGCTTGGTAATGTTAGTGTGTTGATTATTTGGTTTTCATATTGTTCGAACTCCGCTTGCACCTCACACAGTGATCACAAAGTTGCCTACGTCACGTTATATAACACTTTTTATGTACTACTCACGATTGACTGACAACAAATCAGATACATGTTGATAGATTCAGTAGCTGGTAGACTCAATAATACATTCGTGATACTTTCGTCTCATCGAATTTTGTTGAAGAGATTAAACGTATTAAGATATTGCTTTTAAATGGCCAAAGCAGCTTAAACTGTATCATACCTATTACATATGCGTAGATGCTGACATAAAAGCAATTGCAGAACATCCACAACCATTTATTGATTGACTGTGACCACACACTACAAGGTAATTCCACATACAACTTAAGATGAAGTGATATTCTTCGTGTTCCAGATATTGCTGAACAAAGAAACAAGCACTCCATGAAACAACATATACTAGGTTTCACTTCTGTGTATAAAGATTGTTCATTTCTATTGAAGTTAGTACGTAATTCTCGACGTATGATTAGTGAAATTACACCATATGGTGTGAGTGTGTGTGTGCATATTCCACATTCACTCCGTATGGCAATACTTTTGACGATTATCCGAGAACAACTAATGGGATTGTTATCATTTCCTGATGGCATACATGTATTGTATGTCGTTTACTGCATCTCATTCTGTATCCAACTTTCACCTCACACTAAGTCACAGCTACGATAAACACATTATTCATGAAGGTCGAGTGAGTGTAATTTCTTTCTTGAAATATATTCACTTAATTTTCCTAATTACTGATCATCACCACGTTGTTTGACGATCGTTCTAGAAAAGCTCATTAAGTGACTAGTTAGAGCCTATTTCAATTAGCAGATAATTCCCATTTAAACATAAAAATTAGAACACGAAGTTCAGCGAATGCATCCCTTTTCAACGAATTCATTATCAAGCTGTACAATCGTATTTTTATGAAAATTTAGTTTTTGTAAATGTACTAATTCCGTGAGGAAATGTGAACACAGTTAACCATGACGTAATAAAAAAGGTTATAATACTAGATTACGTACTACGAATAATAACATTAGATTTAGTGAATATAGTAAGATGATTAAAATGTTTTTGCCATAATGAATAAAGTTCATAGAGGTGTGAAAATAAATATGGTGATATGATGAGTATTTATGAATAAAACAATGAGAATATAAGACATAAGTAAAGAGGGGGAACGCGGTAATAATAATAGTAATAATGACAATATCATAATAAAAATATTTAAGGCCAAGATAACGACAACGAGAAGACGTACATCTTTTGTACGCATAGTTCTGGTTTAAGCTCCTGAATGGTAAGAGCTTCGGCTATTTTTAAGAGTTGGATACGAAGAAATTTGGGTAGGTTTGAACGAATCATATAAACAACATTAAAATCAAATTGTGGATCTGTAGAATGGGTATAATCCACTAGGTGGTCCGGTATAGAACTCCTAACTGCTTTCCTTTCAACCGTATAGAACCAAGCTGAGATATGTTCCCGTATCCGAGTTGAAAGCGAGCGCTGATTACGACCAATGTATCTTGCTCCACAAGAGCAGGTAAACTGCTTGATGCGTATAGAGACGACCAGACGCGTAAGCCTATCGTTTATGGATACAGAAAATATGTTCCTACTAGTGAAGGTTATTCAAAGTTTCACGGCGTTAAACGTTCTTCTAATAGTTGTTGTCAGACGATTTTCGATTACGTCTGATGTTTGATCATCTTAAAATTCGAGACCTATATAAAGGTTTCTCTTCGGAATGGAACAACTAGATTTCTTGTCGTAACTACGTTTATTCATATTTTTTCTATGAAAAGTTCCGGTTTACCATTTTCCGTCAAGGTTTTCTAGAGGAATGCGAGTTCTTCGTTAATGCTTTTCGTACTGCATATCTGATGTATTCAATAACATAAAGAATGGATGAGGTT